AAAAAAAAAAAAAAAGCGTGAAGCTTAATAATGTATCTCCCCACCCCCATACTGGGGTAGAACCTAGGAGGCCTTCACCCCATCAACTCCCCAGCCCTTTTTTCTGGTATTTTGTTTAGAGACAGGGTCTCACTGAGTTGTCTAGGGCCTTGCTAAGTTGCTGAGACTGGCTTCGAACTTGTGATCCCCCTCCTCRGCCTCCTGAGCCGCAGGGAATACAGGTGTGCGCCATCACACCTGGCCTGACTGCTTTTGTGGCAGTTATCCCTTGCTTTTGCAGTTGAACCATCTGAGCATTTGTTCCTAAACACTAGAGCTTTACCCCTTCCTTAAATCTTATATAAATGAAATCATACAGCGTTACTTTGTGGCTGATTTCTTCTCATGAGCAGTGCACTTGCAGTACTCATCTGTTGTCACATGGAGTCACAGTGAGTTCCTTTCCATTGCTGTGTTTTGTCTTTCACTGTACATTTATCTATTTGATTGTTAAGGGAAATTTGAAGCCTCGCACCTCCCATACCTCTTGGTTTGGGAGGTCCGCTGGTCTTCCAGCAGTGCCCCTCTTTTAGTCTGTTACAATCTTCAGCCTCAGGGATCTGTCTAGTCATATGGCAAACCTGACATAGTTGCCTTGTGCTTAAAGCCCTTGRGTGTTTCTTCAGTGCAGGACAAAATCCCAAACCCTTAGCTTGGCTTTCAAGGCCTGTAATTATAAAGAGCTACCACAGCAGAGCATTTACTACATTCATTACATTCACAGTCGAGACCTTTAAGCTCTCTCTTCTTGATCTGGTCCCAGCCATCTTGAACTGCTTGCAGTTTTCCTCAATGTGCCAGGTTCTCTCTTGACCCTGGACCGTGGCATATGCTGTGTGCTCTCACTCTTCCCTCAGGCCTTAGATGGCACCTCCACTGGCAACTTTCCCTAAAAGATATCCCATCTCTGGCGAAGTCAGCTCGGCTCTTCTGTGCTCCCCTGCTGCCCCATGCTCAAGTATCTGACCATTTTCTTTATCCTTTAGACTGTGGGCTACATAGGGGTGGGAGCTGGGGCTTGTGTGCCCTTATAGCCACCATGCTCAGCCTGTGTCAGTCACACTGAATTGAGGTCTGAGTGATTTCTTTCTGGTGTCCCCATTTCTATTCCAGGATCTGGTTTCTGTGGTGGGAACACCAAGGCAGYGTCCTTGGGGGGGCCAAGGAAAGCATGAGCTGCCTGTTTGATCTCTGTCACCAGCTGGAATCCTCTACACCCAAGATAGGGATGAAGCTTTCAGCAAAGATTTGGGGACTTTGAAGTTCTCCAGCAATGTTTCTGGACCAAGAAGCTTTGCTGACAGCAGGCCTGGGCTAGGTGGCTGAGATAAGCAGGATCCTCAGCTGGGACCAGGGCAGCCTCGTGGGTTTAGAAAGGCCTGTGCTTGATGTTCTGTCACTCTTTCTTTTTTTAGTGCTGGGGATGGAACCCTGGGCCTCACACATGCTAGACAGGCACTCTGTTGCTGAGCTGTGTCCCTGGCTCCCGTCACCATATTAATCCTTCAAAGTTTTTTTTT